CTAACTGGCTGCTGGACAATGAAGAAATCGTTCCCAACATTTTATGGAGCGATGAAGTAAATTCTTCTGTGGATGGCATAATCAACAATCAAAATTACGTGATATGGTCCCTTGAAGCTCCTCAAGAGTAGCTCACCAATAATCTCCATTCCCCTCTTCTCCGTGTGTGGATGGGGCTCTCCTCAAAGTGTCTTCTGTGTCCCTTTTTCTTTGATGCTACGGTTACCTCTACATACTGCAGACGCATGTTATCCTGCGACTCAAGTAGCAGAGGAAGTCATTGACCGTCTTTCAACAAGATGGCGCTCCACCCCACCACTCAAACCAAGTGAGAACTTACCTCCGTGAGCAATTTTCTGATGTGAGTCATTGCTCGTGGATTTCCAAACTTTTGGTCCGCAAGGCCACCCGATCTCACACCTTTGAATTATTGGTTTTGGGGAATGATCGGAGCTCGCGTATATCATGGAAATAAACCGAAGAATTTGGTGGAGTTAAGAGCAAGAATTGAAGAGGAGTGTGCACGAGTGACGCTTGAAGAAGTTAAACATGTTGTGTCTCACATCTCATACCGCCTCCAACTTTCAACGTCTTTTGTAATTCCAGTTTGTTCACAGTAAACCTCCATGGTGCTAGTATGTCCACATAAAAAATGATAAATTTTTTGAATTGTTGTTGAAGTTTGAACGTGGGTATTATTTTTTGCATCTATTATGAGACACCCTGTAGTTACCGCTGGAAATTTTATCAGCTTTCTGCCTGGACATGGCAAATTTATACACTCCAACTTAGTTGTGACTTCGATGGAGTTGAATAAATAAATCGTCTTTACCGAAGCCCCTCTAGTCTAGGTGTGAACAATCCGCTCGTGCTTTCCAGCGGTCGCATAGTGGTTCTCACCATCATCGTTGTCAATAACGTAATAAAAGTAACAGTCGACCAGAAGCATTCTGATTCTCTTCGGTCGTTAACATTCTCTGATACTTTCGACATGTCCTCCGCAGTTCTACTGAGGTAACCCATATGTTAGTGTATTTGTATATGGAATGCAATACCGTATCACCTTCATGCCCACCAATAACCGCATGCAATTAAAAAAAATAACGTTCTACTTCCCTCTTCCCTGTACGCAGAGAAGTTCAGGCTGGTCAATTTGCAGAGGTGCTTTTCTCGATAGCCGATAATCAGTTGAATGGACAATCCGGTGATGCTAGCGAAAGTCTTTCCGCAAACTGGATGGTGGAAGAAAACAAGGCCGACGTTCGATCCTCACTCAGCGATCAGTTGGAACTAGCTGCTTGGTGGCCTTGTCGGGTTCATAAGGTTCGCGATGACATGGCTGTAGTGAAGCTCCAAGTAAATACCCCATCGGATGCAAGCCCAACAGATATCACGCGATGCGCGCAACTTTCAGCCGTTACGGACATTGTAAATCGAAATACTTTACGGCAACCTACTCACGACATCCCCTGCATTTCCGCGGCCATGATCCATCGACATTCTATTGAAATCCCAAAGGAGCTTTCCGAATTGTGAGTTAGTCTTCCTCTGGTCTAGTTAATTCGTATCTTTACGTGAATTCTTGAGCGCGAAATTCTTTCTTTGCCGTTATTCGGTCAGTCATATTTCACTACTGACAGGGATCCATCAGATGAGGAATATTTTCGTAAGACGCGTACATTTTTATGCTCACGTGATTCTTACAAGCCGTGGCAGTCTGGCATCAGTACTTTGAAATAGGATTCTTTTACGCACCTGGACATTCTTTCACCAATGATTGGTCCTTAGATACGTCAATGTCGGCACATTGTTCTAGTAGGCTAAGGCCTTCCCATCGGTAAATGTCGCCTATGGCAATGACGTTTGTGTTCTCTCCCTGTTCCACTAATGATCAGCTGTCGTACCCCTGTTTTGAAACTGTTTTAGTCACATCGTGACAACTCTCTCAGGATGTTAGAGGTTCACATATGTTCTTCCAAAGTGTATCAAAACGACTCAAACGTTTTGCGGAGGAATAATTGTAAGTAAACATGGAAATCTTTCCTGACGAGACAGCACCATGCGGTGCCCTTGCAGTTTTGTCAAGCCTGTGGGCATTCCGTGATGTATCTGCACCAGTTGCTTGGTCTAAGTTTGTAAGTACTGGGCTTGATTCCCAGTGTTGACCAAAGCTGTTCGATTTCATCCCTGCAAATGAGAGTGCGGGTGAAAAGCATTGATGGTCCTGTAGTTTCACCGGTGGATGTTTGGACAGACCAAATGACTGCGCACGTCTATGTTCGTACGCCGTTCTCACCGCTAGTGCGTACGAGTAGCAACCAATAAAGCCGAAGTTGGCTTCCGATCATTTTCATAGCTCAGCTGTGTTTTATCGCCATCATAAGTGGTCTCACAAGGTCGTCCTGCTGATGAGTAAGAGAGGGCTAAATTTCTGGTCATCCGGGAATTGTTCTTTCTTCACTAGAAAAAAAAACTCAAAGGAAGAGTGGTCCTAATAGGGCGATGAAGATCCTTTTTGGAGAGAGGAGTCTATAAATGGACCACTGATCCCCTCGCCGATGCTTCACTGACAGGTGTTCGTTCCCACCATCTAATTTAGGCGTTCTATCCACGCAGACTTTGTTGGCTTGACCAAGCACCCCCCTTTTCGCAGGACTGTTTGTCCCGCACTTGGCTACGGTGTCCTTTGAAACGTTCAACGTTTGCTACCCAGCGGAAAACTGAAATGAACAAAATTGTAGGCGGTAGCGGTCGTCAGGCTCCAGAACGGGATCTCAGAGAGCGGTCACATAGAGATACACTGCCATATCTCCCAGTCACATGCTGCTTTCTGGTTTTCCTTTTCTCACCAGCTGATTTCTTCAGCTCAACAACTGTTCAACACATTTACTGAAATCATGCCAACTCACATGCTTTATATATGGCTCCCCTTCAGTTGGAATAACACTAGGTCATATTGTGACACGCGAACAGAAACAGCCCATCAACCTACGCTAACTGCTAATTGCTTCGCAAAAAAACTATGATTATTTTATTTAAGCGGTCAGCCTTGTACCACAGATATTCAATTTCTAGTGAAGTAGTGGTGTAGCCCACCATATTGTGATGAACTTTAGGTTGTTTAACACATGCACTATGTTTTACACCTCAGCGTGAATTAGTCTTTCTCTAGCTTTTGTCCCGGTAACCACTAATCGGTATCCATTTCGCGGCCTTTTGTATGCGTGTGAGAGAGAATGATTCTGTGTGCAATGAGTTTTTGGCTCAACTGCCCGCCCTGATTGATCTCAATAGGCAATCTTTTTTCGTTGAGCTCGGATACACTTACTTCTTCCTTCGAGCCTGAACTGGATTAGCTCAAACCATTACCTATTCGCTTTCTTTTCTTCGCTCACAGTGCTGCTGATACGAGCGTTCACACCGAGTTCCTTCGACACGCCGGTGGACCTGTAAGCCTATTCTTCGACAAGGAGTCATCCTCATTGGTTGTGCTGAGCACTGATGAAAGTGCGATCCGAAATGTCGCCCTGTTGGAGGAGACGCATGTGAAAATGCTTCGTCAGAAGTGGGCCATCACACGGAGTTTGAGACAAACAATGCGCAATATGGAGGTGAGCTAACGTACCCCTTTTGAGCTTGTTAATTTCACTGGGTTTTCTCACCACTAGTCATTGATTATTACGGATTTTCGCCTTTGTGAGTATCGTGTAAATGCTGTAGTTTTTTAAACTAAAACACACTGAAGGGCTGCAAAACACTACGTTTGCCTCATTTTTGTTGTGACCTATTAGCAGTATGCACCTCCAGGGTCTCTAGGTGAACTCGGACTCGCTATATTCCTAATAAAAGTTAAACACTGCCATTCAGTACAGAGGACTGACGCCTAGACAGGATATAGCACCAACCAACCTTGAGTTCACCACTGTCACAATTTGGTGGTAATTGACCCCAGGGACAGCAGCCCTGACCGGTGATGTCATTCCTGGGATGTTCTCCTGTTTAGGCAGATTACTTATATTCCGTAAGTAGTGGAAAAATTCCAGTGTTCTGTTCTTGTGACGCTTCGCCCTTGTCGGCAACCATCAATAGTCCATATCTTTGATGAAGCAGTCCGAGTAATGTGAACTAAATTTTTATGATTAAATTAATCACTTGACCGACCTGCCGGCTGAGCAGTGAACTTCAAGTTCAAACCCCTTTTGGGTTCCGTGAATGGTTCTCGTCAAGGATCAAGCAGCTGAATGGTGCTTCTCTGCTTCCCAGCATACTGGGACGAAATCCGTATTTTAGAATATGGTGTGAGTTGAACAGGCTTTAACAAAGTTGGTATGTGGCGATGAGCCCAGGGATAGACTGCGGTAAAGCTGTCATCCTGAACCGATGCTCACTCACGTGCTAGCATGCTGTTCTGGTTTTTGAACCTTATCATGGATTTCCTTTGTCCTGCCTTTTATCCGAATCGGAATATCTTTTCGGCTCACCTTGAAGCGCGGCGTACATTCCATCCAGATTGATGATTATCTCATCCCAAAAATGCTTTTGTGTGTCTCCTCGGCGCTCTTGGCTTTTTCGGTCCTGGCCCTACTTCCCCCATAGACGGCTCTTCGTCATCATGTCGGGCTATCACACAGTGGTCTGTGTGGTTTATTGTTGTGAACGAAGCAAGCTAAACTGGTACTTTTTTAATAATCTGTTTATGATCACCCAGGTCATATGACTTAGGTGAAGGATAGTGGCGCACCTGCAATACGGGTTGCGTTCGGAAATCATACACTGCCAGTACTAGCCGTAATTTATTCGCCAATCGAATTACCTTCGGCTTTTAGTGAAGCGCTGGCGGAGCCCGATAAGCTCAGCCTACTAAGGGTTCATGAGGCCGGGGTAGAGTGATCTGTCAGCTGATCGGCTATTCGCCTCCTGACGCGGACAGGCTTGTATTGCTTGGGAATTCGGTTTTGTGGCGGGTTTCTAGTCTAACAGGCTTATGACTTATTCATTCCATTTACCTGTTAGCGTACCTTTCTACTTGTTATTCACTCGTTAGCTTCCTGTTGAAAAAGCTTGATCCATTAGCAACCTAACTTTGCTACCATATCGCCGGAGCTTATGAAAATGTTATTCCAGTCCACTCCTTTGTGGGTGCGTTTTATAACAGAACTACGCGGCGCTCGTCCCCTTTGGGGAGTCGACTTACATCACTGTTTTTCGTGTGCATAGGAATGTGACAACACAAACAGCCAGTTGATACTGGGGTCTTTAACTAGTCCAAATATTGCTACAGTTCACTTGACTCATCATGTGTTTGTAGCTTTGAATATCGATTTCCAGTGCTGAAGTAACCCCCGCTTTGAAAGAGCACGAAAGAGTAGCTCTGGTTAGATGACACCAAATCGCCCCAGTGTGCTCATGAAAAATGACGACCACTAATCAGGTGTTCCGATCCTCAACAAGTTAGCCATATTAATTCTTGTTTATCACAACCGGTGCTATAAGTGAATCTCCAGTCATGGATACAGTAAAGAAGAATAGAGTTGTCATTAACAGCTACGAGGAAGCTACTGATGCTTCACATATCCAAAACTCTTCGTGAGGTTCAAGCAAGCGGTAGTCGGTTGATCCAGGAGAGTATTTTGTGACCAACTTTTATCGCAGAATGACATAAATCGCTGTTTTCTTGGTATTTGTTGATTGCGAAACTTCGAACCCCATACAACGTTTGTGTGAAGAGGGATCTCATTCCGATTCGGTGAGCTTCAGGGGCGAGGTAGATTGCACCCTTATGTAAAATCCTCGTTCACTGCTGTTGACACGATACTTACCATTTGAACTTTTGGCTCCGTGTTTGTTTTTCTTCTGTGGTTTTATACTGTTTCTGTTTGGTCTCAGCAGGCTAACTTTCACCTTCCCCATGGACCTTGTTCAGGTAACTAGAGGACACGAAACCTCACATCTCAACATGACCAGTTCGAGGAGCAGCGCTGATTGGGACACTGATCCAAACATGTTTTACGAGCGTTTCTACGTTCCCCAACGCCTAATGGGGCTGGCAATCGGTGCTCAGGGCCATAACATCCGCGCATGTCGCGAGATGCCGGATGTTGTAAGCATACGACTACGTGAAACAAATGATGGGCGGCGTCCTGTTGAGGATCATGCGAATGAAAACGGAGACTCTGCATTAATCATTGTTGAAGCCAGAGTAGGTTTTCGATCTCCCCTCCACCCGGTTGTTAATGCCTTTAATCCGTTTGGATGGAGATTCCATTAGATGGCGTTTGAGTACATGTTCCACGTGTTTTTTGGGACCATTGCATTGTTAATCGTTAAGCCGAGAGACAGCTGATTGGCACCACTTCAAACTTCTACGTCAAACGTGCCACATGTAAACAACAAAGGACATACAACATGCCGTTGGAAAGTGAAAATAGCTGGGTGGATGACGGTTGTAACTGTGGTCACAATATTCAGGCTATGACCTCATGGCAAGTTAGAGAACGGAGTGATTGGTCAGTTATCTAGCTTTCTACCGTTTATTAAGGCTGGTAGTTTCCAATTGCCATAATTTCGCTACCCGAGGATAAACAGTTTGTGAGAAAAAGAGTAACACCGGAAGCAATGGCCAAACCAGTTCACTGACTTTCAATTCTCCTGTTTGTCTGATAAAGCAGGGAACTAGAGAGCAGCGCATCGAGGATAATAGTCTTGACATGGGGCCCTCACGGGCTACGTGATAGAGCCATTTTTGTATGGGTCAATAACCGGCGACTTATCTCGCTCCACAGTTCCCATCCTGTTAGACGGCGGTTTCCAGTGCAGCTGAGTTCAGTGTTAAGGGCTTTCGTTCCTTGTTGCTAACTTTGATCGATTGCTCCTGGACTGCCTCTTCTCAGCATATGACTTGGTAGAGGGTTCAGCAAGGTGAGCGGTCCTCGGGCGTACAAAGTACATGGCTTAAATAACGTAACCTATAGAGTATGATTGGTTGATCTCTCTTGAGAAAGTTGGATTTCCCCAGCTCCACCTGGCAAACCTTATCGATACTGATCCGATGTTCTCGTCCAACCCGCGCAGAGACAACGTTGGTTAAATAGGGAATATTTGGAGATCTATACGCAACGTACGCGTCTCGGCTCCACAAATTAGACAGATCGCATCCGAGCACTGCACAAAATACCCCTGACAGCCAAATTAATACCATGGTGGCGCCAAAAATGTCGAAAGTTTGCAAACAGTGGTTAAGACTGGTTGCATCTTTTGCCGGACCATTGGGACTTGTGCAGCTGCCCGGATCGATAGACCGCATAGATAGGTTTGCCCACAATTATTAGTTTTAGCTTTGAACCCACCAATTTTTGCAATAGGACTTTACATTGTGCACTTGTGTGGCCTTTATTTAAAATAGCTTGGATTTCTATTTTCAATAAAGCGATATCGTCAGTGATGAGGACTCACTAGAATAATTACGATTGGACAGGAAATGATGGATCGATGTAGTAAGTGACAAGAATTTTAAGTGGATAACTTTGATCGCCAGACACTGGCATAGGGTTTCAATAATCGGTGGATTCAAAACAGCTTTTAGGTGAATAGCGAGCGCCATCTATGTTCAGACGTAAACTGAAAATACGATCAGCGCAAACTTTGCCCTTGCGAAACCCAGTTTGATTCTCATGAATCTTGCTCTCTCGATTGTGAATCAACTTGCACAGGATAACACCAAAGAACATCTTGAAAACTATGGCTGCTAGACTGATTTCTATCTGTAGCGAGCTTGAACTCTCCAGCTGTGCGACGGTTTGTCCACCTTCATAGCCAATACTAGGGAGCGTACATGTAACGCTCACACAGCCTCGTACCACGTTTGTTCGTCGGTCGAAGTCTGAATACCAGCCTTCTGGTGCACCATGTCGGGCAACGTAATTTGTGTGGTCACTTACTCCCTCAAATCTAGATTACTCTGGTCATCTTACGCCAAATGTCACTGCCTTACTGGTAGGCTTTTGAGCCAAAGGCTTTGATTGAAGACTCTGACCATCCTCCTTGCGCACTGGCATTGCTCCGACCCAAGTAGAAGCATCCGTCAAACAACTATAGATAAAGCCATGCCTCACCGGCATGAGAAGGCCTCTGGTGAGCGAAACAGTCATGGAGAAAAGCAACTCGTTCCTGGAAAACGTGACTCGCCAATCGTTGGACTGAGTACTTTCAGTAGCGGCAACTTGCCACCTCTAATTGGTTAGTCGGATTTCCGACCCGTAATGGAGACCTTGACAGTGAACTTGGAACATTCGATGGCTTCGGAAATGGGTGAATGGCCTTCCTCAAACTCCACTAAGTTTCCGGTCCTGATAAGCTTCCATCCTTTCGATGCCTTGATGTCCCGAAGGAATGCAATTTCGCCTTGGGTTTCTGTTTGGGAACGGGTGCCGACGTCTTATTAAGGTTTCTGTGTATCTTCCAGAGATCGTGTGAATGTTTTTTTTCACGGGTGTTCTGTTGATCAGAAGCTTGAATTAGTTTAGCGGTTAAAGCGCGAAACTACTGACGAGTACCCGTGGCTCGAACCCAACTGCGGCTTTTCGATTGCTCTTGTCTAGGCTTGGGTACCCTGGCAGTATCTCAGCCCCCGTGTTTCTTTCGGATTGCACAGCAGTTGTGCCCAGAAAAAGGGCCACAGCTGAACATTTTCTCCAAAATTAAGAGCTTCCATGTGGTTGGTACATCGTTCATAGCTACAAATATTATTGGGACATGTCGGTGCAGGAATCTTGGGCGTATGTTCTTTTTTCTTGTGCTCTACCCTGCTTTTTGCAATTTGTGTGGTGAGCCCTACCAGACACTTGATTCTAAACATCTTTGCTGGGGATGGTTCAATAATCCTTATTGTTTTATCTCTTCCTCCATTCTTGTCTCATTATCACTTTTTAGACAGCGGAAGCAGCAAAGCAAGCTCGTTCCAGACTGGAGTTTACTGAGCTCTATCTGGGTGTCCCAAGACGATATGTGGGACGGTTGATCGGTCGGAGGACGAACAACATCGTTTCCATAATCGAGAAATCTGGCGTGGTCCAAATTCATTTCGACGACCATATCAAAGGTCCTTCCGAGGATGAAACGATACCCAATCTTGAAGGCCTTAACCTACATCCCCCAGGGCCCACAACGCCTGTGTCTACCAGCATGCGACGTTTGTTTCTTCGGGTAAGTGCCATCACCTAATTTGTGAGTTGACACGGTTGTTATTCATTCGAACAATAGGTAAGGTTTTCCACATGGGACAGTTCTCGAATGGAAGAGACTCATTCGAACTCAGTTCTTCTTGCGCTTTTGGTCTACTCACACCTACCTAATGAGAGGGAAGTCTATGAAGAAAATACCAAGTTTCTCTACGCACAGAAATCTAGTCTGTACGTAGGGATGATGTGTTGCAACCCAGCAGCTTTTATAGCGGGCCTTGGTTTGGTGTAAAGCCTAATTTTAACAAAAATTCATGGTAGACTGAAACAGTCTACGAGGTCATGCCGGTTTTCTTGAGAGAGAGGGAAGCGCCGAGCTCAGACGTTCGGTTCTTACTATCCTCCCCACATTGGCGTTGTTCATGATGATCCTCACGATGGGAAGTCAGCTGATTGCAGCCTTGTCTCCAACTGTGGCGGATTTCGGTCGCACGCTTGCATTTTGGCTATTACCTCCATTGTTTGATAAGCTTGAATATGTTGGTTCGTTTCTCACACGTTCATCTCGCACTTACTGTCACGTGCATGCTGCTCTTCCACAATCTCGTTTACGCCTGTTGTTCACAGGCCGGAGGTACCCAGGCTACTTCACAACCCCATGCCGAAGAGGAGTACGGTGGGTTTGTCCTGTCTGGCACACGCGATGCAGTCGAAAAAGCCCGATTATTGATTAGCTTTCAACTGGATTATATCTACGATTTGGAAAAAATGGAAGTAAGTCAGTATTTTTTCTCCGCACCCATGTGTTATACTCACCCATGTTTTGTCACAGTATAGTTGCTGTCTTCGGCCTGCATACTTTCATGCGAGCAAAGGACCCTATCGGTACTGCTTATTGATCGTAGTTGATCTTGCGGATAACGCAACATCCAATGGCAAGGAGATTTGGGTTTACCTAGATAGCCCAGTGAGACATACTGGAAGACCCCTGTGCAGCATTCACAGTGTCTCTCTTAACACGTCGCAGTACACTCAGTTCAAGGAGAACATTATAAGCGAGAGACTCAACTTTTATTCAGGGTATTCTCCTATTGACATCAAACCAATATGCGGATGAGTGTATTTGTCGGATTTGGGTTCAGCTAGAGCATAAGACTGACAGAAACTCTGGGTCCGTGGTTCGAACCCGACCTCTGCCCTTCGACTTACCCTGTCCAGGCTTTGGCAACCTGGCACTATCCAAGTCCTCGTGCTTCCTTCGGGTGGCATAACAGCTGGGCACCGAAAGGTATGGGAAAGTATGAGAACTATTGTCCGCATCATTATCATGCATACAAGCCTAAAAATAAACCTTACATTGTTTCGGCTATCTCCGGCTTATGGACGAGGCGGTTTGTAACCTATACTGGGTCGATTTCTTCCAGAGCCTAGCCATCAACCGTTGAGCGGCAGCGGTTTAACACATCGAAGGAGCCGGCTCTTCATAGGTTACTTACACTAAAATTTAAAAAAATGGACTAACTGTAGCGAATTTTCTTTCACCACTTCATAATAAGTGGCTGCTATCTCCTGTTGGTTTGACTTTATGCTACAATCAACGAATGGTAAGGATAAGTTTATGATTCAGCTGGTGCCTGACTGCCTCACCGGTGGGAGTGTTTGTGTGTGTGTGTCAAGTACCTCTGAACCAATCAGGGCTATCACGGTTCAGGAACTTAGCGATCCCAGAAGCGATCGGAATCCAACTGTATGGTCGGTAATTCTGCGTCCAAATAGAATCCGTGCGCCCTCTTAAATTCATTTGGCACACGAACAAGCCAGTTTCACAAACTTGTATGACGCTGACGTCACTCTTTTTTACTCCATGATGTATTGGCCCATGAACCTCGACCTTTAAAGAGGGTGACTTCTGGTATTATATAAACTTCTACCTTGCTGACCAGGGTGACCAATAAAAAAAGCAAGCTTTATCCGCCACCTTGTTCTTCCTGGCACATGTAACTGCCTCACATAAAAGGAATTCTCCCCTCCGTGTGAAGTATGTCCAACCCAACTCACGACAGGTGTTTGTGTGTGCATCTATCTATGGTCAGTTAAAACAAGTGTGGACTGTCATACAAACCGAACAACTTTTGATTGGTCTTTGGGCATTCTCAATCACTTCTTGGTCCTTTTTACTGTTAGATCTGGTGTTTGCAACAAAGTGAGACAATTATGCTTGATATATTCTGAAAAATTCAGACAAATCCACACTTTGATTCACGGTGTGTTTATATCGATAGGGTGGCACCCAAGTTCATTATTTTATTGTCTTACGAATAGCTGTTTAAAAGATTGGATACTCACGCTCTGAAAGTTCCCACCCGAGCATACGGTTAAATTTGACCTTCGTGGTTTTGGTCGGAAAGACCTTTCATGGCCGTCCCACTAAAGTTTGTCTCGGCCTTTTATCGATTGTTCGCCTCGCTAAAGTTTTCGGAAACTCAATTATTTCATTTTGGTGCATTTTGCATTAATTGGTTGCCTTTATAATTTTCATGTTTTGGGACAAAGACTACGTTTCACCTGTCGTGTATCTCGAGCCGACAGGAATTTCTGGTTATGGTATAGTGTTTGCTATGTGGGTGCAATATTATTGATCGTTCACCGGCTTACTGATCCACTCGGGACATCCTGTCAGCATTAGATCATGTGACGGGAGCCGTGAGTGAATGGAACGCTGCATTTTAATGCTGCATCTGTGATCCCACTGGTTCTACTCTGTTAGGTTCCTGAAAGTTGGATTACAGCAAGAATGACGTTAAGTGTGGTTCATAACCATGTTTTACAGTCTCCAGCCAAGACCAGAGGTTGTAATTGTAATGCCTTGATCAGTGAGGGATGTCTACAGTCAAACTGAAGAGAACAACAGCCATCCAAATAAGCTGAACTAATAGCATTCCGTTCGCTGTCAAACGAAGACCGCGGGTCACGATACCCTTGAAAGGTTGATGATGTGTGCACTACTGTTAATTTCCAACAAAATTGGTTGCGGTGCTTCTTAGCTTTTCAGCGTAGATTGGGTTCGAAAGTATTCCTATTGTTTACTCCACTGAAACATGCTTGCAGCCAATCAAGAAGCTGTCGATTTTCGAGCATTCCGGTTTTGCAGAATTTCGAAGATCCTTTTGTACGTTCCTTCTTGGCTGTCTGTCTCCTACGGTCTCATTCTTAAACTCCCTTTATCTAGGCGGAAAAGATAGCATTGATACGAAATTTGTCCCACACTTCTGACTCGGGCAGTGGATATCCCGGTCGCTTGGGTGCCCCCAGTGGTCCCTCCCGTGGAGTTGGTCGTGGTGGCCGCAGACCACCACGCGGTGCTCCCTTCCCATCATCCTATCCACCGTATGCTGGCACAGATCCTACGGACACCAGTTCCAGACCCAGCCAATACACTGATGAGGGAGGTCCCTTGCCCTATAGCGGCGGACGCAGGCCAGTGAGTCTTTCTCAATATTATTTTCATGAATGTCTCTCAGGTTTGCTCCTGGTATGTTTTCTGTGTCAGATCGGGCCAAAGCAATTTCAACCCAAGCTTTCAGAAACTCCTAAATCTGATTTAATGCTTCGACTAAATCGGTTTTGGAACAATCGTTTGAGGCATGCGTTCCACCTGCTCTGGTTACTACAACTTCGTGCGTTTTCTCGCGTGGCAGCTTGACAGTTGCCACAAAGTACTCAGCTAAGTAATTGCTCCAGTTTCCGCCCACGTTTAGCCCATCTAAACTTGTATTCCATGCCAGTGGTTGGCAGCCTGTGCACGTTTTTCGCGAATAGTATATCTTCAAAGGAGAATAACCAATTCCAAAGTGCCCTGGAACTTTTTGCTTTTTCTCCGTACATGTAAGTGAATACCGAATAACAAATGAGGCCTTGACTTTAATGTTACTCTGCGTTTATCCGGTCATTATTTCAGCCGCGTAATGCACGAGGTGATCAACGGCCACGACGCCAAACTGGACGAGGGGGTGCTCGTCGAAGTGGGCCAAACAACAATTACGCTGACTGGAACGACCCAACTGGGAATAATGGGGATGTAGCTGATCGTCGCCGTGGTTCAGCAGATTCGGATGCCTTGAGCCATGAAGTCGAGTCAGATGAACGCGAAACAGTGGGGCGATACGGTCAAGGTTCAGGGCCGGAATGCAAACGCACTGATGGCGGTGAGACCGCATCTAGTTTGGCCACCGATGATGACAATTTTCCCGGTGGTGATGGCTCATCCGCCGGGGAGGGTTGTCCTCACCCCAACGAACCCGCTCGTGGACGTGGCCCAAGCAGAGGTTCATACAAACGGTAGGTAACTCACCTCGTTTAAAATCATTATGAAGAGGGGCCTGATTTCTGTCAGTTTTTCGGTTTGGAAAATCACTGGATGATGTGATGTCGAAGAGTTTTCAGCAACCTTGTGAGTAGTTTCCTTTATGTAGATGTGATCCATAGTTATCTGAATGCCCTAGCCTTGCGTTGCTCGTTTACTGTCTCAGTTTGTTTCGTTCTGTTTTTCGAAATGGTGTTTAGGGACCCCAAAATTGTGTTGTAGTAAAAATTGCAGTCAAGAGGCTTAATGATATTTGTCGCCATTGGCCTGCGCTTCTTTCCAGTATCAAGGGCACTACAGAATAATGGAGAGAAAAAAGGACTTCATACTCCGGACTCTTAAAACTTCTGGCACAAATTCGCGCGTTCTGCATGATCAGCTGACCACCTTGTCTGCGTGACAGTTGGCTAACATATATTAATGGAGTTATAGAGTCTATTAAAATAAACTGTCGCCTGTGGCCTAATTTGACCAATCACCAAGATGTTTGAGTGAACCTTTTGTTTGCTTCACTTTTCGCGCTACTTTTATCGGTCCGGAAGGTCGACTAGTGCGTCAATCTAATTCCACGTTTACGTCACACATCTAGCCCCGAACACATTGGTGTTTGATTGTTCAACATTGTGGCTCAGGCTAGAAATCCGTCGATTATAATACAACGACCATCGAGGTTGCTGTACTGGTTAGGCGTTTCATTACTTTTCCTGAATCAATACTTTTGGTGTCAATGTGATGAGGACGAACGTCGTTTATCAATATCATCCTGCGATATAACACGGCCTTTCAGCTTGTTACCGCCATTTAGTCAGTCTCCTGATTTTCGAAATCTCGTCTTTACGCGTATCAGGTTTGCAAATCTTTTGGTGGGCGCATAATCCTGTGACAAACAGCTTGTAGCTTCTGATTATTGAGTCACAACGCGATAGAAGGGCCTCTTTTGGTTGGATTTTTGAGATCTGACCACTCCCGTTCTGTCTCAGCTAAAGGACTTATTCAACCATACTTTTTCGGAATGATATGAGCATGGCTGACGCATGGAGTCAACTGGTTCGTTGTTAGTGGTAACATTCACTTTTTTAAAAATTTCCGCTTCAGCACGTCACATCTAGGCAGTTATGTGTGTCGGCATAATTTGTGAAATAAAAGAAAGGTGGGCAACGCTAACTCCAGTAGGTTTCACGTGATATGTGACGGGGACTCTTGTATTTCTGTCCCACCAGTTGCATCCGGCACGTGCTTCTCCGTTGTGATGATAATAATTCCGAGCTTGTGTTCGATAAGTCCGCCAAGATTTCGATATATATCATGTTCGATGATTTCTTGCATGCAGATTTCCCTCCAATAGTAAACACTACGGCGCAAATGGCTTCCTGCTCACTACATTCAGTGACGGCCCCTACTCTGCCTCTGTTTTTTTCGCCGTATGATTTTTCTTGTCGCAGAACGGTGATGTAACAGTTTCTACGTTTCTGTTGCTGTCCACGGTTATCATCCTCATCGACAGCATGACATCAGTGTTCAACACCGATGCCGTACAACCATGACTTATTTGAAAGCCTTATTGTAAAGAAAAGAATAAAGGTGAATGGGGCAGGGACTTAGTGCTAGCTTAACTCAATCATTCCGAGGTGCCTACACCTCCAGACATTCACTCAGGCACTCTGGATAGAAACTGACAACAAGAACGCCACTGACATCGGTTGGCAGCCATATCTTGTAGTGTCTCCAACCAGGCACAGTAAGGATCACGCGGTCCCAATCCTGGAAGGCGAGTAGCACCGACAACACCCAAGCGTTTCGTGATCTCCTTCATACTCCTCTGCCAAGTCAAGTCAAGAGTTGACCGCTTTACGCCACTCTGAATTGGGTATGGAAAACAGCACTCTCTTCGGCAAACGATGGTTCGGCATGCGTAAAACATGTCCCAACCAACGCAGCTTCTGGTGCTGGACACATTCTTCAATGGAAGTACCCGTTACACAACCGAAAACACGCTTTCTAACTGCCTCGTTACGGATTCGCTGACACCAACCCACACGAGCTATGGTTCTGAGACAACGATTGTCGAACACCTGAAGACGTCTCAGGTCCGCTGCTCGAATAGGCCAAGTCTCACAGCCATACAACAAAACAGCCCGTACTGTAGCTTGATACACACGTCCCTTCAGATTCAGGGATAAACCATTCTGACGCCATAGGTGTCTCAAGTTAGCAAACGCGGCCCGAGCCTTGCAGATTCGTGCATTCACCTCATCTGTCACACTACAGTCAGAACTAATACAACTTCCAAGATACGTAAAACGCTCCACTGTCCACGGTGATGACGGGCAGCCATTGCTCAGCCTGGATGACAGGCTGACGCGGCTCGAGATGTCATTGCTGTCCAGGTCAAGCATTTTAATGCTGCATCTGTGATCCCACTGGTTCTACTCTGTTAGGTTCCTGAAAGTTTGATTGAATGACATTAAGGATGGTTCATAACCATGTTTTACAGTCTCCAGCCAACACTAGAGGTTGTACCTGTAACGCCTTGATCGATGAGGTAACGTCTACAGTCAAACTGAATAGAACAACAGCCATCCAAACAAACTGAACTAACAGCATTCCGTTCAACCGCAGGGCTATGTTTGTCTTGCCTAATTCAGAGAGTTGGTCAGCTTTTAACTCGTTATAATTATACGGGGAGTCTGAGTATCGGTGGTGCGGCCCGTACTCCAGTGAACCACTCTGCATGTACTAGGGTCGTTTCCAGAAATGACTGTTGTTCGATGTCAGTGATCTTTTGTCATCCCCTACTCAGTCTGTCTAGTGCGCGTCTGGAGGACACCTCGAAAGGCCTTTTCCCCTCGTTTTTTTCTTCACAGCAAGGTCTTTAAATAAATTGTGATTGTGCCTCAGTGGAACATCGGCCTTCAAAGCTGATGGTGAGCTGTCGGCCACACCCCTACACTTGAACGTCGCATGTGATTCGCCGCACATCTACCTAGTGAATTAACAGCTGAAGACAGTCAACGTCGTTAATGGGAATCTTGTGCGAATTTCGCTTCTGTAACTTTTCCTCAAGAGAATAGTCCATTTCAAATTTCGTAGCATTGCTTTGAGCTCTCTCCTACTTTGATGCCGAAGCTTGCCCAGTTACTTCATTTCGAGTAATATGTCCTATCCATAAGCAGCTTGCCAGCATGATTTAATTTCACTTGGTTGACCGGGGAGACAGCTCGACGTACGGTGCCTTTTGACAGTCGAAAAGCCCCTGACCTCAAATCCACTTAGTGGGACTAACTGCAGAAGCCGTGTTTTAAGAAGTTGGCTGTCTTACCTATTAACTTCAAAAGCATCGGTTGTGGTGTAATGGTCATTTCATCATAGTCTAGAGTAAACCGGCATTTTCATCGTACCAGCTGATACATGAAATGGCCTGGTGTAGCACATTCAGTTGAAGCGGACCTCACCATAAACGGAGCATTCAGCTGAATTCCGTTGAGTCTCCTGTCAAGGCTGAATTCGTCGACAAATGAGAGTTTTTGTCGAAGTTTGTTTGATTTGGGTTCAAGTAGATATCAGACTGAGAGGAATCTGTGACTGTGCCTAGCTGATGAGCCTCAAGAAACCGGTCGTGGTCTGTCGAAGTATTTTTAACAACCTTACGTGTAATGTTACGTTTATACTATTTATATCATTAGATCCTGGTATGGAATAAGTCAAGAAATTTAATGCTGAAACCAACTAGACTGAAAGGACGAAGTCAAGGAGTAGATTGGATGTCCCACTTTACAATATGTGAAAACCGTAAAAAAAAACCCAGCGGATACGGAAATCGTGGCAAACCGAGGGAATGGAAGCACCAATACGGCAGCTCCGTATGACATGAAGGGTGGAGCCAACTGAAAACGTCTCAATTTTTGCTCGGTTGCTACTCGAACTAAAGCTATTTCAGTGTTTGGAACCGATCGAGGAGCCTCAATTTCAAAGGGTTTGCTTCGCAATAATCAACCAAAAAATCCAACCTTTCTGAAATGGATAGAGGACCTTGATTTTCTTTGTGGAAGTAATAAAACATGGGTTTGTGGTGGGCGGACACAAACAAAAGTAGATCTTTTCTCGCGCGCATCAACATTCAATAACTGCCGCGCCTCTATATCAGCTGCCCCTTTTCCCCAATTGAATTGACCTGTGTTATCGCTTGTTCGTATCCTCTGTTTATCGGTTTTACTTTCTTGTTTCAGTATGGGCGTTTCCGATGGCTCCAGTCGGGCTCCTCGAAATGCTCGCTCTCAGAGAAACCGACAGTGGGCCGGTCAGAACGGAGAGAACGGTCCAATGAGCATCCGAACTCCACAAATGCAGTCTAGCAACAATTCAATGAGACACACACCCAGTGCAGCCGCTCGACAACCCGCACAGGTTTAATCGAACTGCATCCGATTTAGTAGTTTCACCATGTCGTCTACCGCCTACACAGTACTGACTATTGTACTTTTGTTGCCACTTCCTTCCCTCTCTAGAAGAGGGTCGGATTCTCGCTATCTATATGTCATCGCATCCATTCGTCGCCCGTCGGGCAGACACACTGAAGCACGCTGTCCCATTGTTTAAACTGGCTTTCATCTATTACGCTTCTTGTTGGTTCCCGCATTCATCCTGTCACAACACACTACCGTTAAGACTATTCCTCTGTCTCTATCTCCCATACACTTTCCAACATCTCCTTATCCGTGGCTCACCTAGCCGATGATGACCAATCATCCGTCCATCAGGTACTCATTAGTGCGCATTGACTCCCACACGCACCGTGCTACCATCTCTCCTTGTCAGGTATTTCTGGCTATCTTGCCTTCCTGAGTCCTTGTTCTGACAACGATGCACTAGTCTGGTCAGTTGCCGAAATTTGTGATCTACCGCGCACCGTGTATGTAGGCTGATGAACGCGCGACCGCTACTTTTGTCGCCGCCATTGCCTAGTTGCTATTCTTTTGGCCGTAATTTTGATCATTCGCATACTACAACGATAAAGAAAACTCTAGGCTTTTCGATCATTCCCATAAACATCATCCAACCCGCAGCTGCGTGCTGTTCGTCCATTTCCTCCCCACGTCATCAGCATTTTTCTATCCTTTTCACCTGTCTTGTCCTCCATCTCTAGTTTGTTCAGACCGTGAAGTACACCTACCCGTTCGCGCCCACCCGTACTCTTCTCATATTCCTGTGCCTTTAGTATTCACGATCCATCAGTGGTGTCGCAGTTTGGATGCTCAACACACATGCACTTTGATTGTATGACCTCTGGTCGTCCTCTTTTTTCATGGAGGGTTTAGGCTACATTCTCTCGTTTCCTTACTTTCTACCCTTCAACATCAACTAGCCGGTTCATATCCCCACTCTCCATATACTGCTCCGGTGTGTCTTTTGACGTTTTCCCCTCCTGTCTTCCATCTACTGCTCCCAAACTGGTCTTGCCTTCATGTCGCTTACTCCTGCTGCTGCTCTAGGCGCGTGTTCTCTTCCCGGCTTCGTTCATAATACAGATCTCAGAGGCTCGTTCCGAGCTAAAGTCTGTGTATTACCACCACCATTGGTGCGTGTTGTTCTTCTAATAGCGGTCCCGTTTGGGCTATTCATCAATAAACTTCGATTCCGGACATTAATCATGTTTCTTTGAATAGCATTGGTTTAGTTTTCTAGTTGGCTGGTCTGGGACGAACGGATGATCCCCACATCAAGGATACTGTCTGAGATTTAACACTGTCGTGATGTTCACCAGCATCATGTAACGACGTCCAAGCATTTTTTGTAGGACGAATCGATGCGATTCGTAGGATAAGTAGATAGGAACCTTAATGTTTTTCGTGGAACTCAGTGAGGTGAGTTGCCACAGTGGTGTGTTGAGTCTGAAGCACGTGAGCTCAGCCGTTCTCAATCTGCCACCGAGTCATCTTTAGTTTCCGGTTTACACACTTGGAGATCCATGTTATATCACCCTGAAAGTTTCTATAGGAATGCTTTAGAAATAACGAGGCGCCTTAACACTGAAAAGATACAGCACTTCGCCCAAATTATTGTGAAGTCATAACAACATGTATTATATGTAGACTACAATAACCTGGTGTAGTTTTATCTCTGTGGTGACAAATCACAGAAAGCAATAGTTGTGCGTCGAATCCTCTTTCAACCTTAGTCCAGTTCCCTCGTAAACCACAAACACGTAACTGTCTGCCGACGTCAGCAAACGAAGTGTCCGTTGAGTTAGTCCACGTGACGAGTTGCAGAACGTTTCTTGTGTGCAACTGAGCAATGACTCCTGGTCCCATGGGATTTTTTACATGTTGATGGGGAGTCCCGGGCGTTGTCTTTTTGCCTGGGTTGTTCTTTATTCTGCCTTTGCTAGGACTTAGTTACTGTCAATTCTGGACGGCCCAAATCACACTTCTTTTGGTTATGGATATCTTTTCGGGATGTCTGGTCGAGCGCTTGGTTGCGCAGGCCGGATTTATTGTTTTTTTCCATCCACCAAGCTTGGCGATTGGTGCGCGCACTTTTCATCATCATTGGAGGCTACATGTGACACCTACTGACCATGTCTCTTTGAATTTTTACGGAACGTGTGCAGACGGGGGGGGGGGGTACAAAACAGCAGTCATCAGATGAAAAATTAAGGATCTCCCGAGCTACCAATACTTCCACACGTGAGCATGTTTCTCTGGACACTACACTAACCAGTAAACTTAGTCAGATGGGCAACTGCCGCCTCCTTCGCTGGAGATCCCGGGACTCAAATCACCAATGGTTAATGCCACTGACGGAAATGGCCCAATCGCCCAGTCAGTGGTGCTCGTGCATCGAAGCTATCGCCTTCAATGCGTAGATATTCGAATTCCGAACAGACTGAACATGTCTTCGCCTCCAAAGCTTGGTTGTATATTCCGTTTTACGGTGATCAAAACTGTAGCACCTGGAACGAATTTGCCTATAGTACACGATTTCTAGCTGATGAATTGAATTGAACTGAACGCCTGATTGCTTGGTACTATCAGAGGAGCGAAGAAGTGACACTGATCAGGTTAAAAAATGGAAGTGAGTGTGGATTTTTATAATCCCGCTCAGGAGAAACACGTTGAGGAATCTCCCTACGGCAAGTTGTTTTCTCCCTATCTACGAATTTAACCGCTCGATTTTGCCCAGGGGGCTTACAGTGCAGATAGACGTGATAATCGGATTCATGACAATTGCCCTCGTACGAAAACAGCTTTTAAAAACGATTGAATATTCTTAGTTTCAGGGAGGTTTGGTAAACAATCGGTGGATTTATTGCTGAGCAATTTTTCGTTTTTGACACAAAAGCTTCGGCAGCTCAAGTGAACAAGTTATCACGTTGACCGAATTTCAAGGCAGGCAGAGAAAAAATTGGTGAAATTGCTTATGGTTAGCTATCAGGAAGGTCAGCTTCCTGAAAGCAACCACTGAATGCCCGAAATCTCCCGATACTCTCAGCTCCTCTAGACGTTGACCAGACAGACAACACCCCCTCAAGATGCAGCGCGTCACAGCCTTGTATCAAACCCAGACAGCGCGGGTCAGCGTCGGTCAAGGTCAGACAACGCCCTCGCAATATGCAACACGTTGCAGCCAGACCGTGTGCGTCAGCATTGGACCGAGTCCAGACAGTGTCCCTCCAATAAATAGCTTGGGGTCGTTGTACATTCGCACTCGCTTGTTCGGAATATAGCTATGGTGTTCCCTTCCTTGAGTCTTTTTTCGGCAACTAGGCACTGGAGCGGGTCAGCAGCAGATACCTCAGATTGGCGAATCAGCAGATATAACATTAGCCAACTTGATATGTGCTGGGTATCAGTCTGATGTTCTGTCTTTTGGTTACTGTGGATGACTTATAGGTTCTTTAGGGGGTTGCCTTCAGGTTGAATCAGAATTTTGACGCTTGCTTTTTCGGTCTAGGACAGCTTAATGGAATATTCCTCTTGGGTATTATTCACAGATTTTGTCCTGAGTGCGTTGGGGGAGCCAGGACAATTGGGTTGGGGTTGGGGGTCTTGCTATACCTGGGATTTGTGCTTTTAGACTCAGGCACTCAAACCTCAGTCACTCTGTTTTTGACTCGGCCACGTACTCTCAGGAACAGGGTCTAGCAATCGGATCCTCAATATCCCCGATTTCGGCCAATGTGTACGTGAAAGACTGAACGGAAAGCTCTAGCCGGTTTCGAGTGTCCACCGAGGGTTTTCTGGCGTTATGTAGATGACAAGTTCGATAGGACAAAGCGTGACAATATTAGCAAGTTCATTCAGTATCCTACTACGTCAAATCCTCACATTAAGTGCTGGAGTTCACACAGGCTACACTGCCCTTCCTTGACTGCATGACACACAAGAGTAGTGGGGAATTAAAAACGACTGTTCACCGGAAACCAGCGGACAGTGGTGCCATCTTAGACTACTCATCTGCACATCCAAAGGCAGTACGTGCTAATATAGTTTGGTAGAGTGTAGTAAGGGCATTGTGCACAGAGCAGGTCCGCCAAACAACAGCACAACTTAAGGTAAAGCAGCCACCTGGCATCTTCTCGACCCTCGTACATCAGTCCGGTGGCATGACAGCTGGGAAACGAAAGGGTTTTGCAGCAGAACTATTGTTGCTATTATCAGGCTGAGGTTGGAATCTCTACTCTGCGGTTTCCTGACCGAGGGCTCTTCGTTGTAGTCAGCAGTTAAACGAATTGATAGAATGGGCTACGATGAGCTCCACTGTGGTTCGAAGTCACTCGTTTAATTAGTAATTGGACAAATTATCCAAGTATCGGTTTAGCACCATCAGATGACCGCAACATAGGGTCTATGGAGGCCAGCAAGAATATTTGAACGGTGAACAGGCCGTTCAAAGGTCATTTCTCAGTGAACATCGTAAAGAGAACAAGATTTGGACTATCCCCATGTTGATCCGCAAAATTCGATAAGGCCAGCAGCCCTGGGGCCCGATCCGATTGCACTTTACCATCGAAGGGCGGGCAAATGATTTGATAATTACCAGTCTATTTCATCCCGACCAAACTTTGGAACTTCTATTAGTAATTGGACAAATTATCCAAGTATCGGTTTAGCACCATCAGATGACCGCAACATAGGGTCTATGGAGGCCAGCAAGAAAATTTGAACGGTGAACAGGCCGTTCAAAGGTCATTTCTCAGTGAACATCGTAAAGAGAACAAGATTTGGACTATCCCCATGTTGATCCGCAAAATTCGATAAGGCCAGCAGCCCTGGGGCCCGATCCGATTGCACTTTACCATCGAAGGGCGGGCAAATGATTTGATAATTACCAGTCTATTTCATCCCGACCAAACTTTGGAACTTCTTATGATGCTAATTGCTTTTTGGATGAAGCACTGTTGAACAGTTGCTTTTGATCTGAAATCGTAAATTGGGCCTCTTTGATGCGTACATGGGTTACAGCTTACTGTGAATCCCAAATTTGTAACTCTGTCTTAGGATATTCCATTAAAACTGTCGATTATCGCCAGTTCGTTGAATTCAATCACCGCGCTGTGCTCTTTTCTGAACATCTCACAGACCATCATAGATATCCCGGAGTATTTTGCCTTCAGTGCGTGTACTGAAGCGCGCACATTCCTATGGGTCTGCAAGCTGGGTCGTCTAACTGCATTGTGGCACTGCTTAATGGGACTCAATTAAGTGATAGCTCCTTTGGTAGATGAATTGGTTTCTCGTAAGGATGCCACCGACTGCGATCAGAGGGCACCTCCGCACAGATTAAGGTCCGATTCCGGCAATAAATACGCTCGGCTGGGGCTGGACCACTCCAAATCCACCCTGACGGTGTCGATCCAGCTTCTGTCTAGGACGAGTGAGCCACGTCGGACATGATGAAGGGGTCAATGGAGGTTTTCAAAGCTTGTTTCCGTCTTCTTGGTTAGGGTGACCAGACAATTGATATCGTCGCTGCTACAATAGTTGTCTGAGATGTACGATGCTGAGTCAGCCTTCTTCAGCCACCTAGTTAGCAATTTCGTCGAGTCGTCAGATGTGCAGAAGTCATCCAGTTCACCTGCGATGAACCTCAAGCTTGCGGATGTTGCGTACACATTTAACAAAAATAAGCAGGGATCAGGTGGATTGTCGATGTAGATACACGAGCTTTTATGTGACGCTTGAGTGATGTGATTGGTTTATCCGACTGACATTTTAGTCCAGGTGTAACTGGCTAATTGTGTTGAATGAATGATTCACAGGTAAGTGTTAGGCAGAATTCCATACAGATACCGGTTTACTGCTCACAGTTAGGTGCCGCTATGGCCGAGAAGCCTATCCCGCACAAGATTGGTCAAAGTTCGGACCGCTTCCCGGTCCCGCATCATGGTGAGCTCTGATTGGTCGAAAGCCTGAACCCATTAACCAATCATGACCCAGTATTTGCCGAATTTCGGTTGCCAATATCGTACCCAGAGGATATTATAAGTCGCAGAATATTGTCATGGCTTGCACTTTATATACGACGCGCTGTACAGGTGTTAATGATGGGAACGCTACCTTGAGAGGTTCAGACCGAGAACTAAGCTGAGAAAAATGCCTTTATTACATCAAGAGACGTTCTGCCTGCGCCGACATTTTCAGCAGGGAACTACTGAGGAACTCCCATAAGAAACACAGATATTGGTTGAAAAACCGTTGCATACAACCTTGAGGAATTTTATAGCTTTCCTCCATCCTTTCTATTTGTGCCGACATTTCTCCCCCGTTATTTGGCCTTGTGGTATTGTTGCGTGGAAACTTCTCCCTACTGTGACCATCTGTGGTTTATTTTGAACGACGTTTTTCTCGGTTGGCGCCGTGGGAGTGAACGTCGTTAGAAGACACGAAGTTAATTTATCCATGAGCACTGTTCTTCGTTGGACTAAACGAGTATCATTTTAGATTGGGATGCGTCACTCGGAAGCTCCAGACCTGACGGCTTCATGTGTTATAGTACGGGTGAGGCTCCGGCTACTAGAACGAACTGTTAATTGCCAAAAATTTCGTCTTAACTACGGACTGATCGATTCTGATCAATTCTCACATTTTGCTTATATTTGTCGTCATCACATGTTCAGCCACCAGATTGCATCGTGCTGAGCCCCTATTGATTTATCATCGTTCCACTCTCACATGTGACTCCATTGGTCGTTGCATTTCGTTAGTTGTCTACCCGATCATGCATAACTGTTGTGGCTGTCGTAAGACATGCTTGCATTAGCGTGAGAGGGCTCTCAAAGCGTGCAATTACAATATTGGTTGCTCACGAGTTGTTCGGCTATTGCACATTTGAGGCGAGCCCTTCAGATTCGGTTTGCGAGCGACCTGTATGTCCGCGTTAGATATGGTTGTAGGAGTTCCTGACCCCATTCCCAGTACTGTCTAATCACACGTATTTTTTGTGAGATGTGAGAGATAGTGGTAGATTATTTATGCGTCTTCATTACTGAAATAGCATCAGTGACCAATTTGAATGAGGGAGGGACCCTTGTCTTCACCGTGTTAGCCCGCGATCTGACACATAGCCCTAATACGCACCGCCAAGACACGGTAATCGGCTGCCGGATCAGCACATTTCGTGAGCCAGAGTAGACCCCAGTAATATACTCCGTAGACCAAATAGGATAAGGTAAAATGTAACGATTAGTTATCATGCTGAGGTCTGTCGGCTCACACCTACTGCTATTTTTCGGCACTCAGCAAAGTGTGTACCCAAATAAGTTAAGTGGTTCGCAGGATTCAGTTGGGTCTTATGGTAATACCGGATTGATGTGCAAGCTAGTGTATTTCGCTAATTTTGTAGGACTTGGGTTGACCGAATAGAAACTCGGAGACTGCACCTACCTGATGTTTCAAGAAGAGCGTAATCAGTCACAGTCTGTCGAAGAGTTTTCGAAAACCCTGCGAGTAGTTTCTTCCAAGGAAGTCATAAACTTTCCTTTACGAACAGGGTACTCGCAGAAGCGAATCACAGGTCCATTTGAATGCATACGATGTCCTCACCTCAAGTAGACGTGAAAAGTATCTCAAATCGACCAAATTAGGGGCTTTTTTGGAGAATTTTTTTTAGAAATTTCCAGGTATATCATTGCTTTTCATTCACCGCACTACCCCTAGTTCTACCGGTAACGTAATTGTAAAAACGTGTCTATGGCATAGTGCAAATAGGCACATTTTAACGTTCTCCAATTCATGTCCTGACACCCTAGAGACTATGCGCACTGCAAACCACTGGACGGAAGTCACAGGTTCGAGAGATCAGCATCGTTGATGATTTCCAATAAGGAGAAAACGGCTGTGCGGTGCTTCCCTGTTTTCCAGCATAGACTGATTCCACTAAGATGATGAAATTCAAGTTGAAAGTTCTCAAATCTCCTCATACTACCAGCCACTCTAATTTCCTCGTTGGATACCAGGTTTTTGTTTCACCTGAGAAAAGTTCTTGCCCGTAGTCAAATCAAACCTCAATAGTCGTGACGAAGTTGAATAATTCTGGTCGTTTTACAGGTAAACTGGTAAGAAGTGTACGGCCGTCATTTGCGGTCAACTACGGCTGATAGATCTTTCTGATTTTCGCGCTCTTTCCTGTCATCACATTCGTGAAAAGTTTGTATTCTCCCTGATGATCGGTCTTCAGCGCGCAGTCCTTTACTTCTGGAGATCATAGTATGAAAAATCTACCCTGCTCCCCCGAAAAAATGTTTTTTTTTAAATTTTTTTGGGTTTCAAATTCTCGCTTTTTTTAAATCGTGTCCACTTCGGTCTTCCGTCGTCGAACGGTATTCAAGAGGAATAACTCACCCTCGGTAGATGAACTGATTACACTGCATAGGTTGCGCTGGCTTGACCACGTGCCGCGTATATCAGTCGACCGACTCCCTCGAAGGGCCCTTTTCGCACCACCACGTGAAGGGTATAAGAGAGGCGGTTAAACAATGACTTGGGAACGAAGTATGAAAGCCATTACCAGAAACTCAGCTGTGCTTATCATTGCCGTCTTTCTGGATGGGGACCACGAGACAGGTCACATCAATGGTTAGAGACATTACCAGACATGGCCCAGTCCTGCTCTGAATGGCGCTCACGCATCCAAGCTATTGCCCTCAATGCATAGCTCCCTTCCCAATCCCCCACTTGACAGCCCACTGATAGTGCTGGATTTATGCACCAATTTATCATCTCCAGTCTGCAATGCGCAGCTACCTACCCCCCCTCCCAAATCATCGGTGAACGAAACTGCGGCCGCTACAACAACTGTACGGCGAGTACGTGGTTATTGCAGTTGACAGTGATGGTGACTTCGATCTTCCCCCATTGTACCTTTGCTTACTGTTCATGACCATGCCTTTCCAATGTTTCGTTGGCTACACATGTGATCCAAATTAACATCGTTGTCTCCCAGAGATATAGCCGAGACTGAGCGGTCTCAGAGTGAAGTAACTTAGTACAAACCACTCTGTGTCTTCGGCGGCACCTTAAGATTTGTTGCAAGCCATCCCTCATACATCCCTAACAGCTCCCAGTTCCACACTTTATTCGGAGCATCCATTACCAACTTTCTACAAAACTGCATTCTCTCTCACCAGCCATCGATCGTGTGGCGGCAGAATATCATCCGATCAGTGCGACGGTGCCACCAACGCTTGCTTAAAATAGAGCGGATCGAAATCACACATCTCGCTCTGTTGTGGCGCTGCAGTGAAAAGTTTAGCGAATGCTTTATGTGGGTCGTACTGCGGGTCACGCATTTGATCCGAAAGGACAGACGCACACCCTGCAGTGTACACAGCTATTACGAAGCGCTTGTTGAATCCATATATCACCTGAGTGTGGATACAGAGCAACACATAAGAAACTTCAAAAACGCAGAGGAAATGGAGGGTAGTTTAGCCGAGAAGACCAAAGCATAGCCTCATCGAAATCAACTCATAACCCTGACCTTATTGTGAGTGATTTACTCGCCAAGTAGTTCGATTTCTTCCCATTATGTTGGACACTGCGTGGGCTTATATATAGACCAATGATTACTGAGGTTTATTTGTGATGCACTACTCATAAGGCTGTTGAAAACTCATCGACAGCCCACGACTGGTTTCGGTCTTATTGAGGCTCATCAGGTAGGCGCGCATTACCCGAGTTTCTACTTGAAACCAAATTGCACGACGAGGTTCCCCAAAGTACATAACGATAATTACGGTTTTATTATCAGCGTCAGGACCGAAATAAAGGTTGACTGGTGCATATCGTTGTTCAAAAGACTGTCAAAGTGGTCAAAATGTAACAGTCACATGTGCGTGGATTGGACTTGAGTTCATCTAGTCTACATTTTCAAGGCTTTCACTGATAGGTACCCTGGCGTATATTGAAAATGAACAAGGTTTCTTATTGTGCCCACGGACCTTCCGGTCAGTAAATTCGCGCTCTAACCACTTGGTCCATCTCGCGAAAGATAAACAGTGTTCATGCGCTCCTATAAGAGCGAAACTCGAGTCTAGTAATTTGTCCCTCTTGTACGGGCTATTCAGAATAACTGCGCCAGGTGTGTTCAGACGAGTGTTGTGAAGCAAATTCTGTTAGATTCTCTTAGATTTGATGGTCCGTTCTCCGGACTCTCCTTAATTGAGTGGTGTCTTTTACTCATCGACCAAGTTGAACGATCTACATCCTACTTTTAGGAGATACGAGCCCGTTTCCTCGTGGTACGCGGGTGTGTACACTTGGTCCGGGAACAAATGTATTCATGTGCAACAACTGAGCATCCATTAACCGATCGATTTGTGTCCGAAGCATCGGCGGCGAGAACAACTGAAAAAGAGGCACTATTGAACCCACACACACACAAAGCCGTCTCTCGTGATTGGCTAAGAGTTAAAAAGTCACGCCGCCACACCCCCTTGTGGTTCAAATGTGAAGCTTATTAATCAGCTCCAGATAAGCAATTAAGCAAAAATTGGCGTCAGAAAATCCCGTCCTGTGGTAGTGCGACCAGTATCATCGGAAGTACTACACAGTTTTTACGTTTCCGGATCTTGGGGAAGAAGCCATCATTTTTAAAGCGCAGTGGGTTCAGAGTGCTTGGAACTTCCAGAACTTTGTTCACGACGAGCGCAATGGGATCGCTCAATCGTTAAGTTCGTACTGTAGAAATGAAGTGGTCATTTCAGGAAGTGCTCATTGATCGATACCTCATCCGGCGAAATTATACGGCGACATGACGTGTGACCACCAATTTATACTGCTCGAATTTGCCAACCCAATCGGATCTTTTCCAGATAAGCCCCACCACCCCAAAAATATTAGAAAAAAGGGGATATGAAATTTGTACTTTTGGCGTTTATTGAAGAGGGTGAAATTGGGACATGCCATTAATAATTTGCATGAAACGGTCCGTTTTCCGGTACCTTTGCCTCCAAACGAACTCACACAAGTAGTTGTCCACTAAAGATCGGTGTGTGCCGCATCGGCGTTTATTCTGCATCTTGTAGACGTGCCAAAGAGATTCGACGGTTTGTGTGTGAGCTCCAGTCGTTGGATCCACAAAGTTTTCGG